AAATTACAACTCCTGAGATAGGTGCAATGGAGTACACCTGTAATCCCAATGGTAGTTCAGGAGGCTGAGGCAGAAGGAACGCAAGTTCAAAGCCAGCCTTGACAACTGTGAGGTGCTAAGCAACTCAGTGAGACCCTGCCTCTAAATAAAATACAAAATAGGGCTTGGGATATGTTTCAGTGGTAGAGTGCCCCCGAATTAAATCCCCAGTACCCCCCCAAAAATTACAATTACTAGAAAAGAAAGAATAATTGTATTTTTTATTTTTAACTTTAACAAAAAGTAATTAAGTAATTAACTTTTGCAAAGGAGTAAAACAGCTGATTTATTGCTACACAAAATGCTTTATATTTATTTTAGAAAAGACTTGACTTGATATTTTGGTTTTAATTTTCTTGAAAAACTTAGGTTTTCTAAAGATAGAAATTGTTTTAATAAAATAGGAAGAATCCTGTTTCTTATAGCAAAGCTAAGAGAGAGCAGAAAACACATAATTTTGATGGGATTCTTCATAAAAAGAGCTTTATTGTGTATGCTACTGAGAATAATATTGATGACTTGGAGATATCATTAAAAATATTTGGTCTATATGCATGTAATTAAAAATTTATACAGAGATTTAGAATCAATGTATCTTACACACTGAAAAATTCCTTCATTTACTTTTCTGCAGTTATTACTTTACATATAGTGTGGATTTTTGTGCAATTTGGTTTGTTAATATAAGATTAGTTTTGTGAGTTTTTGCACACTGATGAGTGACATTAGCTAATTCTTGTAACTGTTATAGAGTATTCTATTTTGCATAATATATTTTGTATTGTTTATTCATTCTTTTATTCTTAACATTTCCAAATTTGCTCTTATAAACAACACTAGTTAAAAGATTTTGTTTACATCTCCTTGAATGCATGTGCAAAGTTTGTCAAGCACTGGAAATGCTGACTTATGGAACAGGAACAGATTCAAGTGTGCTATAGTACCAAATTATTCCCCCAAAGGACTGACAATTTACAGCCCCACCCAGAGTGCAAACCTGTTTTTGGGAGTCTACATTATCCCTAACACTTGAGATTGCTGGAGATTTTGATTTTTAATTTAAATGATTGAACTGATGTCTCATTGTGGTTTTTAATGTGAATTTCCTTTATTAACCTTGGGCTTGGATTGTTTGCCTTGTTCCTGTTGACTTACATTTCTTTTTGTATTCCCAGTTTCTAATTCATTGTCTGTTATGTATGTCCTTAGGTCCTTGACCTGAATTTTTAACAAGGAAGGACCTTAAGTAATTTTAAGCAGGTAGACTGTAGATCACACTTTGAGGAAAAAAAAAAGAAATTCTTTAAGTCATCATACCCAGCTGACAGTAGAAGACCATATCCTTAAAGCATTAATATCCCTTTGGAAATTATGCAATAGAGAGATGATATGAAATTTTCTCTTTATAACCTCATCTTACTCTCATACAATGTATTTATAATGCAATAAAAAAGTTACTAATTGCCTTGGCACAACATGCTATGTCTTAGTAGGCATTGTACTTCTAAGCTGAAAATGTCAGTAATGTTTGTCTAGTCTCTGAAAAGTCTTCACTATTTCCAGGTATCCTCAGTGTGTGGGGTGTGTGTGTGTGTGTGTGTGTGTGTGTGTGTGTGTGTGAGATTAGATGAAAATTGATTCAGTCATTTGCATACTTTGCATTGTTTATCACTGAGGATAAAAAATAAACAGGATGCTAAAGCTTCTCAAGAGCAGATGGAAAACAAAAGTACAAACTACAATATAAATACTTGAGTAGAGTTGGAGAGTACAAGGACTGTCACTGAATGTAGAAGAGGTCACTTAAGTAAACTGATGAGGTCAATCAGAGTTGTTAATGGAAAAATTGTACCTAATGTGAGCCTTAAAGAATAAAGAGGTATTGATTAGCAAAGTGCTTCAAAATCCCTCTTATCTCAACCCCCTGTGAATCTTTTATAAATAATAAAATTTAAAAGACCAGCATCTTAGCTACTGAGTCAAAATCCTTGAGGCTGGATATGTGGCATGCATATTTTAGAAATCCTCCATCTGAATTTCAAGCTAGGCAGAAACTAAATGTGTGATATGTTAGGTAAGTGCATGACATAGTAGATTCTCAATGACATCTATCAAATGATGGAAAAATGAATGAATGGACAAGCCATTAGACTTCATATCTCTTGGCTTAAATTTTATGCTTATCCTGAAGTTTTTGAGGAACCAATAATAGATTTCAAGCAGAGAGTGAAAGTTGAAATTAATTTAAACAAAACAATATTCTAAAATGACAAAAGAAGCTCATACATTTTTTAAATTTCTTTTTGTTTATCTGGAGCTGTGACTAGCACTTATAAATGATGGTTTTCCTTATAATTAATCTCTTACTTAAGGTGCTTAAACTCAATACAATGGTGTATACAATTTACCTGAACCTATTGACAGAAGAAATGATGTAAACCTAACATAAAAGGACCAACTGTCCTATTTTCTACCTGCTATGAGAAACATGACATACACCACAGAGAAAAAAATAATCATTAAGTTTTCTGGCATTGTAATGAATAATTTAAACATATAAATGCTATTCTGCATATTTTATTTTATAATGGAGCATATAATCTCTTTTGGTTTTGACAGCATGCTTTTTTTTTCCAGTCTGATTTTTGCAATGCTATATCTTGGAAAAGCACTTAGCTGATTAAAAACGCCCTTGCAGTCCTCCATGAATGGTAGGTAGAAAAAAAAAAGTGGAAAGTAAGACAGAGGAAGGTATGGAAGAGGTGACAAGAGAGGACCTCAGTCACTCAAACCTTAATTAAACTACCATTCACCCTGCCTCCTGAGTTCTGGTAAGAAGGATCAACTTAAAGGACCAAGGACCTGAGTTATCATGACTTTCCTTGATTGGCTTAATTATTTTCAGGACACTTGAGGAGAGAAACCCAAGAAAGCAAATGGCCAAATGTGAAACTAAGTCAGTATCCACCAATGAATGAAGAGCTAGGGGAATTTAGATTCTTGCAAACCAAATTGTATTGGGCTCTGTTATGGTTTAGATGGGAGAAGTCCCCTGAAAAGTTTATATGTTAGTTAACGCAGAAATGTTCAAAAGCAAGATGATTAGATTATGAGAGCTATAACCTAATTGGTGGGTTAACCTACTTTATGGATTTGAATGGATTATTGGGTGGTGAATATAAGCAAGTAGGAGTATGTGTAGGAAGTAGATAATTGAGGTCATGTCCTTGGGGATTATAGCCCCACCCCAATCCTAAATGCTCTCTCTCTCTCTCTCTCTCTCTCTCTCTCTCTCTCTCTCTCTCTCTCTCTCTCTCTTTCTGCCTCTCCCTCCTTTCCTGCAGCATGAGCTGAACAGTTTTGCTCTGCCATGCCTTTCCACCATGGTGTCCTGCCTCACCTTAGGCCTAGAGCAATGTAGCTGGAGAACTATGAACTGAGATCTTTGGAACCATGAATCAGAATAAAGTTTCCTCCTTTAAATTGTTCCTTCCTTCCTAGTATTTTAACCAGTAATGTAACATGACACAGGCCCAGAGCAATAGATAGATTGTCACCACCACACTCTTGGTTATCTTCAACAAGTGTTACCTGAGATTCTATGAGCATATTAGCCTGTGAGTACAGAGAGAATGCAGAAAATAGATATCTTAGTTTTTTGGGATTATCACAACATACAATAAACTGGGTGGTCATGAAAAACAAAATCTTCTCACATTTTGGAGGCTGGGCAGCCCCAGATCAAGTCATTGGCAAACTCAGTGTCTGGTGAGAGCCTGTTTCTTGGATCATAGATGGCACTGTCTAACTGTATTTTCACCTGGTAGAAGGAGCAGGGAAGCTCTCTGGGGATACTCACCCCATTCATGAGGGATCTACCTCCAGGACCTAAACATCTATCACATGGCCCACTTCCTAAAACCATCATCCTGATGATAAGGTGTCATCATATGATCGTTAAGGGACACAAATGTTCACACAAAATGCTCTCTCCCTCTCTCTCTCTCTCTCTCTCTCTCTCTCTCTCTCTCTCTCTCTCTCTCTCTCTCTCTCTTTAGAACTGAGCTTCAAAGACTGCTTGACAGATGTAGGGTCTCATTGCCTGCAAGACACACCACATGCTTGAACTCAACTTAAACACTATGCATTCATAAAAACCTAGAGATGAGGAGTACACAGCTGAAACTCCTCATCTCTATGTTTTTATGAATGCAGAGTGTTTAAGCTGAGTTCAAGCATGTGGTGTGATCCATGTTCAAATACCTACCATGAACTCATTGCCATGAGTTCAAGCCAGATTATAAACTAACTTTTTCACCAAGCTCTAAACAGAGTGGAATTTAAATGAAAGTGTATCTGGTAATGGCAATTTCCAGGCAAATGTTATACATTTGTCTTGTGAACTGTGTCCATCAACTCTGTCCTCTATTTTCCCCTTTCTTCTCATAAAACAAAAAATGTAAGGATTACCATGTAGTTCACAGTAGGCTTCACTCAATTTCCACAGTTGACTGTACCTTTTTCAAAGAGCTCTTCTGATGTTTCTCTCAAAATTATTCCAATGACAAAAATGATTACTTATTCCTGCAGCACCTAAAGAGTCTTCAAGAATTTTCAATGCCTAAAAACTTGAGTTAAAGTTAGGGGAGAAGTTTCAAATTTGACTTATAAAATATAAACTCAACATACAAAGTTGAAGAGGAAATAGTATGCATAATAGGTTTTATAAAAATTATATCCTAAATATAAACCACATCAGTCTTTCTTTTTAAAAAGATACTTTTTTAAAATTATATATTTTCTTTTATTTTTTTTGCTTCATGCAGAAAAGCCAAGTCTAAAGCTACATGTTAGATAGAATCATTTTTTATGTATGGAGATAAATAATTTTTTAAGTTGTCCAAAAAAAAATCATACCAAAGATGCAACTCACTCAAACAGGGGACTGAAACAGCACTTACCTGATACAAATGCCTTTGGAAATCTTTACCTTTAAATGAGACTTAAAGTTCTTGGAACAGAAGTTCAAGAGATCTAAATTCCAACGTGGAAACTGAAATGTTAAAACTATGGCTCACAGATCTATAATTTAAAAAAAAACATTAAAGAAGCTCAAAACACTGTATTTTCATATAATAACTATTTCAAAGCACTCACATATCTCTCAAAGGTTACTAGTCATTCTTTTTAGTATAATGTGTTATGTCTAGATGGTAGAACCAGCCAATTTTAGATGAAGCACACTTTCAAAAAATATATCTCTATTCTCCCTCCACAGGCAAAAACTTAGGCCAATGCTGACTTGAGTTGAAGTGAGAAGTGTGTGTGTGTGTGTGTGTGTGTGTGTACACACACATCTTTCTGTGAATTCCAATTTCACTAATCTTTCATTCCTTTTCTCAGCTCTTAGAAAATGAATTCTGTTGATACTATTCTTAGGTATACAGAAAATATTAGCAAGGCTTAATGATTTTAGAAATAACTGGTTACTAGACACAATAAAATTCAAAAGTATGAAAGTTAATGTTATTTTGGATATTGAAAGTATTTTCAGAACTTTTTCATGTTTTAGTCCATGCTGAATATTTAATAGATACATGCCGCAGTCTGGCTGGGCACAAAATCACGAGCCACTCACAGCCTTGTAGATTCAAACAGCAATTCTTTATTCCCGAACTCACACCGGCACTCTACAAACACATTCTGGGCAAAATCCACACTCTCCACCGAGCTCTGAATCCCAAATACTCTCTGAATCCCACGAGAACTCAACGGGAACTCAAGGCACCTGAGGCAGCAGGATACGCCCTCTTCCTAGCAGGAATCACCTTAAACCTGGAACCGCCCGCCCTAAACCCAGAATGCCCTAAATCCCGATCCGCCCTAAACCCTGATCCACCCTAAACCCGGATCTGCCCTGGTCCTTGAGCAAGGTCACCTTTCATGCAAAGTCACTTCAAATGACCTGGGTCCACCATGGAGAGTCCTTCCTCTAAGCAACATGGAGTAGGCTGACAAAGAAATTGCGATGCATCATTCCTACTTGGCAATGGCTCTCAGCAGATACATGCTAAAAAAAATTCAAGAAGCTTTACCACTTAATTTACCAGTGGCAACTATATAACATATTTTGGGTGAACCTCTTTTCTGTAAATTACAGGCAATAGATTGTTCCTTTGGGTTATATCACTAATAACATACACATATACACACTCAGAGTACCTCCAAAATATAACTTATAAAAAAATACCTTTCCATTGTCTATAGCTTTTATATTCCACAGTGGATTTCAGCAATAGAGAAACTGATTTACACACATATATAAATTACCAGTTTATGGTCAGATATATGTAAGTTGTTAATAGCTGAAGTACCATCTTTGACATGTTATATATTATATACAGTATATTTTATTTGGTTAAAAATAAGAAACATTCAGGAAATACCTACTAAAAAATAAAAGAAAAAACATCCTGAAAAATGTATAGTTTAATATGAGTAAAATGCCACATATGTTTACAATTTAGTATTAGTGAGGAAATTAATAATGGAGAATTTGTACTCAATATTTAAAAATCAAATAATTATTTCTTCTATTTAAACCCATTGTCAATTCAAATGGACTTACTCTTCCTTTATTAAGTACACTTTCATTTTCTTGAATGGAATGATATGATGGCCAAGATTCAATTCAAAATAAGCCCAATATGGGTTATGTAAGTTGGAGGGTAGGCATTATAGAGGACACGACATTCAAATTTTTACATGATAACAAGTAAAAAAATGTTTATTTCCCCCATGTATTTTAATGTTATTTGAGCTATTTATTAACCAAACACTAGAAAGTGATAGATAATCATTTAAAAATGCTTGTGGTTCAGCAATAGCATATTTGGCTAACTGTTTTTTTTTTTTCCATAATGGACTCTTCTGTTTTTATTCTTTTCTTAAAATGTCATCTACTATAGAGACAACATAAATGTCTTCTTATTTGTGACCTTTGTTTTCACTATTTTTAAGCTCCTCCAACACCAGGCAGAATAAATAATACACGTTCTACCTATTCTCAAGCTGAGTATGAGGTTAGAGAGGTTCTGGAAAGAAAAGAATTTTGCAATCTATGAAGGGTTAAAAAGATGACATTGTTATGATAATGATGATGGTGAAGATGAAGATAATAATTGTTCTAATTGATTCTTCTTGTGTTGTATCTTACACAGTCTTATGTATAAAGTTCTTAGTAAATCAGTGATGGTGTAGATCAATTGCTTATAGTAAAGTAGTAAATCAGTGGAACTCTGACAATCATATACAAATAGTTCTCTGAACTTGAGTAAACACAAGGTCTATATTGAAATATACTTTATTAAGCTTAGCCAACAATGAAAACAACAAGAAAAGAATATATTTAATTTAGGCTTTAAGATAGAGTGTGACTCCTATTTTAATCTGAATCTATTATTTCCTAAATGCTGGAATGCTTTTGACTATTTATGAGGCTAGATGCCCTCATTGAAAGACCATCATTTATATGAATGAAAAATTCAATGGTAATTTTCATTTATTTTTTAGTTTATGTTGTCAGAAGCTCAGGTACCAATTTTGTATGCTTTTCTATATTTTATGGGAATTTCCTAACCTATTTAAAGTCTATATTCAAATAAAGTAAAAAACTCTCTCTATATAAATTTCATGTATTTCCAGGTTTTTCTTTCCAAATAACCATAATTCCTTCATAAACTCTAAATGTGAGCAAGTCTACAATGATACAGTGGTACCATTGGGAAAGTTCACTTTAATTACCCTCAATGCTACATTATTTAATACAAAGGAACAAAAAGAGCTATAATGTGTAAATGTACATTAAACAAGAACATTAATTCTAAATGTAAAATCAATTAGAATATTATTTAAATTTGTATTTTAAATAAAGCAATTTTATATTAAGTAAACACTGAAATTATACTAAGAGAAATGAAGTGAACTCAATAGTTAAACCACCCTAAAGTTGATTTAGTCAACTCACTACTCCAAAAAGTGAGCAGGATTTTTTTTATATTTTATTTTTTATTCTAATGTGTTATATAGGACAGCAAAATGCATTACAATTCATATTACACATATAGAGCACAATTTTTCATATCTCTGGTTGTACACATAGTAGAGTCAGACCATTCATGTCTCCATACATGTACTTAGGGTAATGATGTCCATCTCATCCCACAGTCTTTTCTAGCAATGTATGGGTGTGCCTTTTTCTCCCACACACTCGCCAACATTATTATTGTTTGTATTCTTAATAGCTGCAATTCTGACTAGTGTGAGATGAAATCTTAGAGTAGTCTTAATTGCATTTCTCTAATTGCTAGAGATACTGAACATTATTTCATATATTTGCTGATTGATTTTACATCATCTTCTGAGAAGTGTCTGTTCAGTTCCTTGGCCCATTTATTGAATGGGTTATTTATTTATTTACTTATTTTTGGTGTTAAAATGTTTGTGTTCTTTATATATCCTAGAGATTAGTGATCTAACTGATATGCATGTGGTAAAAATTTGCTCCCAAAATGTAGGCTCTCTATTCGCCTCACTGATTATTTTTGTTTGTTTCTTTGTTTTTCCTGAGAATTAATTTAGTTTGAATTAATCTCATTTACTGTTTCTTGATTTTAATTCTTGTGCTCTAGGAGTCTTATTAAGGAAGGCAGGGCCTAATCCAACATGATGGAGATTTGGGCCAACTTTGTCTTCTATTAGGCACAGTGTTTCTGGTTTAATTCCTAGGACCTTGATCCACTTTGATTTGAGTTTTATGCATGGTAAGAGATAGGGATTTAATTTCATTTTGTTGTATATGGATTTCCAATTTTCCCAGCACCATTTGATAAAGATGCTATCTTATTTCCAATGTATGTTTTTTGTAACTTAAATATAAGATAACTCTAGTTTTGTGGGTTTATCTCTGTGTCCCTTTTTCTGTACCATAGGTATTCAAGTCCATTTTAGTGCCAATACCATGCTGTTTTTGTTACTATTGATCTATAGTATAGTTTCAGGTCTGGTATAGTAATGCCACCTACTTCATCTTCTTGCTTTAGCTATTCTGGGTCTCTTATTTTTCCTGATGAATTTCAAGACTGCTTTTTCTATTTCTATGAGGAATGTCATTGGGGTTTCGATTGGAACTGCATTAAATTTATATAGTGCTTTTGGTAGTATGGCCATTTTGACAATATTAATTCTGCCTATCCAAGAACAAGATAGGTTTTTCCATCTTCTAAGGTCTTCTTGAATTTCTTTCTTTAGCGTTCTGTAGTTTTCATTGTAGAGGTCTCTCATCTCTTTCATTAAGTTGATTCCCAAGTATTTTATTTTATTTTATTTTTAATTTTTTGAGGCTGTTGTAAATGGGGTAGTTTCCCTAATTTCCCTTTCTGAGGATTTGTCACTGATATACAGAAATGCTTTTGATTTATGGGTGTTGATTTTATATCCTGCTGCTTTGCTGAATTCATTTACTAGTTCTAGAAGTTTTCTGGTGGAATTTTTTGGGTCTTCTAGGTATAGAATTATATCATTGGCAAATAGTGCTAATTTGAGTTTGTCTTGTTTTATCCATATTCCTTTAATTTCTTTCACCTGTCTAATTGCTCTGGCCAGTGTTTCAAGAACTACGTCAAATAGAAGTAGTGAAAGAAGGCATTCCTCTGGTTTTTAGAGGGAATGCCTTCAATTTTTCTCCATTTAGAATGATGTTGGCCTGGGGTTTAGCATAGATAGCTTTTATGATGTTGAGATATGTTCCTTTTATCCCTAGTTTTTCTAGTGTTTTGAACATGAAGGGGTGCTATATTTTGTTGAATGCTTTTTCTGCATCTATTGAGATGATCATGTGATTCTTATCTTTCAGTCTACTGATGCAATGAATTACATTTTTTAATTTACATATGTTGAACCAACCTTGGATCCCTGGAATGAAACACACTTGATCATGGTTCACTATCTTTTTGATATGTTTTGTATTCAATTTGCCAGAATTATAGAGAATTTTTGCATGTATGTTTATTAAAGATATTAGAAGTTTTCTTTCTTTGATGTGTCTTTACCTGGTTTTGGAATCAAGAAGATACTAGCCTTATAGAATGAGTTTGGAAGTGCTGACTCTTTTTCTATTTCATGAAATAATTTGAGGAATATTGGTATAAGTTCTTCATTAAAAGTCTAATAGAACTCAGCTGTGTATACATCCAGTCTCAGCTTTTCTTGGTTGGTAGACTTCTGATGGCATCTTCTATCTCGTTGTTTGAAATTGATGTGTTTAAATCGTGTATATCATCCTGATTCAATTTGGGCAAATTTTATGACTCTAAAAATTTGTCTATGCCTTCGATATTTTCTATTTTATTGGAGTACAAGTTTTCAAAATAATTTCTAATTATCTTCTGTATTTCTGTAGTGTCTGTAGGGATACTTCCATTTTCATCAAGTATGTTAGTAATTTGAGTTTTCTCTCTCCTTCTCTTCATTAGCATGGCTAAGGGTTTGCTAATTTTATTTATTTTTTCAAAGAACCAACTTTCTGTTTTGTCAATTTTTTCAATTGTTTCTTTTGTTTCAATTTCATTGATTTCAGCTCTGA